CACTATGACCCCTCTATAAGGTGATGGCACACAAGGGTTTCTAACGTTCAAACTTTTCACGCCAGAAATACCAGAGTTGTTGCATTTGAGTCTCAACACTATGTATCAGTTCAGAAAGCCTGCAAGGAATACTTGCAGGAATGTTTCACCAATTATGCTTGCTCCCTGTGTTGCTCCATCCCAGAAGCTATCATCCCTGGAATTCTGGCCCTATTGTGCAGACTCTGTACATAGATAGGTAACCATAGATTGACTCAGGGATACCTGAGCAATCATTAGACTTTGCAGCAGTTGTTAATACCCCAGTGCAACTTCTCCATATTTTCTTGTGGATCCATTAACAATCAGGATCATGAAGTAATAATGGCCCTTATTGTCATTTCTACTTGCACTCTGTTCTTATGCTGTCTAACATGCAAAAAATTTAATAAAATATTTACACTCATATTTCTGTTCATAAAGTAAAAACAATGTGTTGCAACAATTTATAGATTACAACTGATGTCCTTGATTTTCATAGTTTCCTATACATGGTCCAGGTACAAAAGCAAAATAATGTATTTACTCATTCTGTCCTTTCTTTACACAAGAGTAAAACCTTGTACTTTTCTGAAGATGTACAGCGTATAAAGATTAGAGTGATGAATAGCCATAACAATAAGTCTGTATAGTGTTTATTAAAGCTAATTAAATACTATTAATAATTGAAACCTGCTTTATAGGTGACCTGGCTTCCATAAATTTCTATTCCTATATATCTAGAATGATCATATTCATAAAAAACACAATTGTTTTACATCAAGAATGTTATTCACACTCAGTTTGGTTTATTTTAGTGAATGAACGTAATAATTCTGCATTAGGCTTCAAAGTACAATTTCACATTCCTCCACAGCAACATAGGAAACTGCAGACTGGGAATGATTATTGTAGTATATATCTGACAAATCAATCCACAAAGATACAACAATCTTAAACTATACTATTTCTCTTTGACTGCTCTATTGATCTTCAAAAACAGCTATGTAATTCCCTCTTGAACTTGTAATTACAGAGGAATTATAGCTGTTTGCCTTTAACTCCTTCTTAGGTACTCTGTTCCATGTATTCACCACTCTGAAAAATAATTAAATCTGAACAGTCTATATTCAATTTGGGACTGAATCCATATCTTGTTCGAGATATTTTTGAACGTGATAAACATATAATTAGATTTCAGTTTATCCTATACCTGTTAGGATCATCAGTAAGTTCTCTCTTCAGCCTTCTCTTCTTTAGTGTGAACATTCTTAGCTTCTGGTGTCAGCCTGGCTCAGTTGGCAGCATCTCTGAGTCAAAAAGTTGTGGGTTCAAGCCCCATAGTCTAGGCTGAAACTCCAATGCAATGCTAGGGGTGTGATGCATTGTTGGAAGCGCCATACTTTGGATGAGATGTTAAACTGATGTCACTTCTGTCTGTTCAGGTGGACGTTTAAGATCCTTTCACTGAGTTTCTCCCAGTATCTGTAGTGACCAACAATCCCCAGATAAAATTGATCACTGATTTCATAGCTGTTTGTGGGACATTGCTGTGAACAAATGGGCTACTGCATTTCCCTACAGATACACAGTCACTAGACTTTACAGCAAATCCTGTGAAGCACTTTGAGATGTCTTACCGACATGAAGTGGACTATATACCAACTACTTCATTGTTTTTATAGCTTGTCCTTATAACTGAGGTGAATAACTCCAGCTTTCTATCTAATTGCCCATCACTATTCTTTATCTAATACCAAGATGTCCTTACTGCAACACCAATACATTATTCCACTTTCCCATTTCAATGTTTCACTCTGTCTCAAACTTGATCTTGCTCGCTATACTAACAGTGTGCTCACTGTGCTAATGGTTACAGTAATCTGTTTACCATTAACCTCAAATCATGTTCCTGTGTTGAATCCAGTAGAGTTAAACCATATAGTTTATATTCCAAACTGTTTATTCTGCTTCTCTAATCTCACCATTCTGCAATAAAACATTTGCCATTAATCAGACCAATTCCTTAATCTATTCAAATCCCTTATTATATGTTTAGATGATTTATTGTTTCTTATGCTACAGCAATTGTCAATCCTCTTCGGAATCTCCCACCCTCGTCCAAGCTTTTTGAATCTTATAGACCAATCTTCCTTGTGCACTATATCAAAAGCTTTCCTAAAATCCAGACATATATCATTATATAATCTCACAGATTCTTGCTTTTTTACACGCATTGTCACATAAGTGGAATCTATACCATACACCAATACAGCAAAAGTGAATAATGACCTTTGTTTGTATAACGCAGAACTATCTGTATGTATTTCAAACATACTAACATTTTTATATGAATAATATTCAATACGGATTTGGGGAATACAATATTTATTCCAGGCATGAAGAATTTTATATTATGGCAGCCATGAGTTTTACATTTCTCTGATTATCTATATATGAAATAGAATCCTGTTAGGTTTAATTCACTGCTGACATTTGAAACTTAGTAAGAAATCAATGGCAGGTAGTGTGCTTGTCAAAATATCATGTTAAATGGCACATTATTGAAATCAGGAAGACCTTTGGAATGAAATTCCATGGGTCAGTTACATTACCAACCTTGCTTACATGCATTTATAAAACATAATCTAATTTTAAGTGCACATTGTCAAAGCCAGAAACTTTAGTGACCATCAAATATCCTCACCTGTGTTCTGTTTTTGTTATGATATAGATGGCTGATTTGACATTTTAAGATAATGTGGATTATGACAAAGTGGATAATAAAGTGCAAAAAAATTTGTATTTACTACTTTTGGTAATTGTGTTTGAAAGTCAAAATGCATTTATCCTTGTCAATTCGGTTTATTGTGTTGTATCATTAGGTGTCTACCTGGCTCAGTGGGTAGCACTCTTGCCTTGGAGTCAGGAGTTGTAGGTTTAAGGCCCACATCAGGACTTTGATCTCATATCATATTGACTGACAGTCAATGCTGGGGTTATGCTGGATTGTCAGAGATGCTGTCGTTCGGATGAGACGTTAAAACAGAGATCTGATCTACCTTTTCAGTGGACATTAAAGATCCCACAGCACTACTTAAAAGGATAATGAAGTTTCTCCCAATGTCCTGGCCAACAATAAATTTGGTCATTTTTTTTGTGGGACAATGCTGTGTACAAACTAGTCACTGGTTTGGTTACAAAATACACAGTTACTTACACTTATATCCTATAAATTGCTTTGAGACATACTCCTGACATATGAAAGGTGTTATATCAAAAGGAAGGATTATTATTATTTTTTTAAATAGTCTTTTTAAATATGTTCTGTGAATCAATTTGAGACATCTCAATGACAAGATAAGGCCCTATATCAAATGCAAGGATTATTATTATTTACTAAGATTTTGGGGATATTATGTGTTTAGTTCACATAAACATGATCCTCCAAAACCTTGACACTGCAATAAAAATATTCCATATAGTTCATTCAGCCAAGCAATAGGCTAGAATCATAATGGGTCTTCTCAGCCTTTCACCCTTGTAAGGTAGATAGAATTAGGCCAAATGTGTGTGTGTAAAAAAAAATTATCTGTGAAGGAAAGAGAAGCAGGGTCTCTTTTGGTTGAACTTGTGGTGAGNAAAAAACCTTAATGACCTTATGGTTAATCAGCCTGCCTGGCTCATCAATTAGACTTGGAAGTTTAGACATCTTCTGAATCATAGCAGCCAAAGCCCAAATGATTAGCGAAATCTCAGCAGTATAAGTACCGTGAAATGTATTGCATAGGTTACCACTTCTTTTGACACACAACAATACTCCAGAGATCAATGCTTAAAATATGCAGCTCTTAAAATCCTTACTCATAATGCATTACTCTATTCTATAAGCAAAAAATTTTGAGTGGAATGAAACTGTCATGAGTTCAGCGAGGTTGCTTCCTAAATGTACTCCATGTATAAGTCAGCACATGGTTGAGTCTTGCATCACCACAATTGTTAAATGGACCGTAGTCTAAAATAGTTTCCAGCATGTACCAAAACACTGACCTCTTGTCAAGTATTTGAAAATGTCTATGGAAGTTAGTCTAAGGATTTTGGGCAATATAACTATACTACACAATATAATTTACATTTATATAGCAGATGTCTGGAGAACATCTCAAAGCACTTAATACTGCTGGTTCAGCATCCGAGCTTGGGATAGGAGCTGAATGGGATGGGGAAAGGTGATCAAAACTACGGTCAAAGACACAGACCTTGAATAAAGTGAAGGAGCAAGTGAGTCAGAGGTACTCCATAATCAAGTTCAGAGACCAGGGGTAGAATGGCTGAAAGCTTTTCCCCCGATGCTGGGAAAGATATGGTGGGGGATATCAAGCAGGCTGGTTTACAATGACCAAAAGAAGCAGCCAGCTCAGTAGGGTTGAAGGAGGTCATAAAGTGGAGGGGGTGAGACCCTGGATGGATCTGAAGGTAAGAATCTTGAATTTATATCAGTATGAAGCCTTGGTAACTCTCTTTGTACTTTTACAGCTGGGACTACACTAATCCATTAAAGGCCAAGTCATGAATGCAACGCCAACTCTCACTGATGACCCACCAGCAATGCCTGCAGGTGTGTCTCCTCAGAGTCAATTTTACCTCAAGGTCACTCTTGCCGATCTCCCTCCCTGCCTCTTCTCAAAAGTGAATCCAACAGGAATTGAGGATAGAACCCTTTGACTCCAAATTACTTGCTCATTCCAAGATGACTGGAGCAATATTAGTGGGGTAGAAAAATAACAGAAGATAGCAGAAAAGCAGAAAAAATGGCCCATCATAAACTCCTATACGCAAATTGACCCCGATATCACACAATCATCACGCTGTCAAACTACAGCTTTGTTAAGCTCAGTAATGTCTGTTTAACGCATTGCAAACAATTTAAGTTCAGTAAAATAATTAGTAGATCTACATGTGAATAATACATTAGCACTTACCATGTCAGTGTCTGAAACAGGGCCAAAGCTTGTGACATAGATGTCTGTCTCCACTTCGGTTACTCTCTCTGATATAATAAAAACATTATTTAAGAAGTCTGCAAACTAATCTGGTTCAGCTTAAACTCTATGCAAAAAAGTTCCATTTATTTATATACTCCAGCATTCCCATCCACACACTGTGAGCTTTTCCACTGAATTCTGCTCATGCTTCGCTTGTCCTATATTTCATGCCATGTTATGGGACAAGTTGTCATTATACACAAAATGCTTGAATTGAAGATCACAGAACAAGTAATCCTTGTGTTTGATAAAGGGCCTTATCGCATCATTGAAATGTCCCTACGAGCTTCACAGGATTTATTGTAAAGTGCAAAGACTGGGTATTTGTCGACCAATTAAGAAGGATGTCTTCTGGTTGTGATTTTCAGGTGAAATTACGATGTTTCATAAAATATATTGTAGTTATCAAATCTGTTATAAAATATCACAATTTACTATTCATTCATAAAGATTGGCTTCTGGGGGAATCCTCGCAACAATTTACACACAATGGTTGAGTTGAATTATTTCCATATTGTTTTATTTTTTTGATTGGTAATCTTCAGAATAGCTTCATAAGAAATGGGCTTAAATCATTCAGGATGTGGTATTCAATTAGCAAATGTAGTATTCAAATAGCAACGCTGGGGTCAAACGATTGTAGTTCACGTGCTGGAATACAAGATGGCTCAATACAAAAGACAGCGCGAGCTTAAGACACAACCATTGTGGCAATGTCGTGTGATGTTCAAACTGTGACCTCTCTATAGGCAGAGATGGTAAAATAAATTGTTTCATATTCGATATGATGACATTTCACTTTTCTTGTGTATTAAATTACAAAGCACTAGGTCAGCCTGGCTAGGTTGGTAGCATTCTCACCTCTGAGTTGAGCAGACGACACCCAACTCTATATTTCCACCTCACATTGCGACCACCAGTCCCTGATGTTCTGTCAGCCTGCCTGTCTGATATCAGGAGCTGGATGAGTGTGAATTTCCTTCAGCTGAATGTTGGCAAGACAGAAGCCATACTCTTTGGCTCTCGTCAACATCTAAAATCTCATGATTCTCACCTCCTCCACTTACCCGACCGCCCCTTAAAACTCTCCGAACCCATACGCAACCTAGGCTTCAGGTTCGACCCCCAATTATGCTTCCTCCCCCACATCCGGTCCCTTACCAGCACCGCGTTCTTCAACCTCCGACACATGCCCGTCTCCGCCAATACCTCACTCCAAAAGCCGCTGAAACTCTGGTCCATGCCTTTGTCACCTCTCGGGTGCACTATTCAAATGCCCTCCTCGCCGGTCTCCCCTTCACTACCATTCACAAAATCCAGGTCATCCAAAACTCTGCCGCCCGCATTCTTACCCGCACCAAACTCTGCTCCCCGATCACCCCAGTCCTTTGTAGACTGCACTGGCTGCCTATCCCAGAGAGGATCGACTTCAAGATCCTCACCCTTGTTTTCAAATCCCTCCACTCCTTTGCACCGCCCTACCTCTCTGACCTTCTCTCTCCTCACAACATTGCTTGTTGCCTTCGCTCGGGTTTGACCTACTCCTTGTCCTTCGAATCCTCCGCTCCACCCTCGGCGGCCGTGCCTTCAGCCACTACGCCCTGAGACTCTGGAATGTCCTTCCTCACTCCTTTCGCCTCGCCCCCTCTCTTCCTATTTTCAGGTCTCGGCTGAAGACCTTTCTTTTCGACCGTGCCTTTGGTCACCTTCCTCCCCCTCCCCCTGGCTTGGCCCCGGGATCCGTTACTGTGAAGCGCTCTGAGACGCCGTGCAGCGTGGAGGGCGCTATATAAATCCAAGTTGCTGTTGTTGAGTCAGAAGGTTGTGGGTTCAAGCCCCACATCAGGACTTGGAACTCACATAGTTTAATGTAACACTACAATTCAGTGCTGGGGGAGCGTTCTCAGTGGTGCCATCCTTTGGATGAGATGCCAAGCTGAGCTCTCATCTGCGTGATCAGGGGATGTTCAAGGTTCCATGGCGCTATTCAAGAAGCCATTTGCTCCTAGTGCCTGGCCAACAATCCCCCATATAAAATTGGTATTTCATTTCATGGCTGTTTGTGGGATACTGCTGTACACAAATTGGTTGCTACATTCACCTACAAAATACACATTCACTACACTCTTCAGTCATTCTTGGGATGCGCCACAAAAACGTTTTCCAGGCATGAAAGGTGCTATAACGAATAATAACATTCCTTGCATTTAATGTAGGAATCATTGTTATCATCATCACAGAAATGGGATATACCAGAAAAAAAATGTTTCAGTTTGCTTATATGTTTCCCTATATGGCTCATTGAGAGCGCAGTGTACCCATATTTAGTAGAGACAGGCAATAAAGTTTCTACATTAAATACTTTGGATAGCTTCAGCCCATTCTTGCAGTGGCAGTTTGATACAAATTGGCACTAAATTGGCAATAACACTTAGGGAAGCCATAATTATGGTGGGAAGTGGAAAAATCTACTCTGCTGTAAGTAGGAGGTGTTTTTCAAACTATTTGTCTGACTTTTGTGAGGTCGTGAGGTAATAGCTCTCACTTAGATCTGCAGAAGCTGAGCATTATTTTTCGACACTGTGGGGTTGAAAAGCACTCTTCTTGAAAGCAGGACCATTACAAGTGCCTCATAGTCGAGAAAGCCTTTTGCAATGTAAACTATATTTTCCTCAGAGGAATCCCATCTACTTCATGACTTTGACCCCAGCTCATGAGACTTTGGCTCTGATGAGATCTTGGGTCAGAAGCAATTTAAGATAGTTAGTAAGCAAGGAAGAGGGAGGTTAGGAGAATGTTTTTCACACACAGAGTAGTTAGGTTATGGAAGGCCCTGCCGGGAGAGGTGGTTGATGCAGTGACCATCTTGGCCTTCAAGAAGGACCTAGACAAATACTTTGGAAAGACTCAGCTGCAGGGATATGAGGAAAAGGCAGGTAAATGGAGATGAAAGGATTGCTCAGGATGGAACCTGCGTAGACACTTTCTTCTGTGCCATACATTTCTATGCTTCCATGGAACCGCGGTCCCACAAATTGAGGTGACATATCAATACATTAAAAAATTATATTTGTATAGCACCTTTCACATTGGGAGGAAGTCCCAAGGCGCTGGACAGTCAGGGATTTGGACCCGAGCTGGAGATCGGGATTGGGGAGGGTGGAGGGCAGGGCAGGTGAGAGGGTGGCCGAAGGCTCGGTCGAAGAGGAGGGTTTTGAGACACGCTTTCAAGGAGGCAAGGGAGAGAGTGAGGCAAAGAGAATGTGAGTTTCTTAGGGTGGGGGCAGAAAGGCTGAAGGCCTGACCACCAATGGTGGGGCAGGCCGGACCGGGGACGTGGAGAAGGCCACAGCCTGCTGAGCGGAGGGAGCAGATAGGGTTTAGCAGGTAGAAACGTGACCGCCTCAGTGAAGATGGGGTCCACTTGTTTGATGCCCAATGAGAACATGACAACTTGAAGTGGTGCATCTGTTCCATTTAAATGCACTAAATTTCCATATGTTACTGGGTACAGTTGTGACCATGATTTTTCAAATCAAAACTCCATTTACGTTTTGGCTGCAGGTGTTATTGGCATCTCTGAATATTCTGAAGCAATAATTTAGCAATGTATATCAGAAGTCAATATTTGCTTATTATTCATCAAGCACTTTTGCTTCTCACAACCCACTCGTCACTTACCATAAATTGTAAAACTAAACAGATGTTAATCCCCTTGATTTCATGCCTGCAAGACATGCATTAATTACCTAACAACCTATATTCTATGTATGGAATACAAAGTAACCAGAATTCATGGATTTAATAGCAAGAGACTCTAGTTTGTTCTACAAATGGTGTGCAATTTTCTGCAACGCCATTTTATTCAATTGGGCCATTTACAAAAGTCAGCAAATACAGATCAAGCATCGTCTTTGTCAAGGTTCTTTGTAAAAACCCCATATCCACTCCAGAGGCTCCAGGTGCGATACATTGTCTAAACATTCATGAACTCGTAAAGTATTATATTTTGTAAAATATACTTTCTTTTTAAATGCTTTCCAGTTTGTTTGCTAAGTTAATTGAAAGATGTGTTTGATGCATTAAAATGGATTTAACAGATACTGGGAGTTATTGTATGCTTGTCAGTAAATTTAATGATCTTGACATTGAGTGGATATTATTTTCTACTCGCTGACAAAATTACCATTCTTACATAAGCGTACAATACCAGTTCAGCCAATTCATCAACACGTGGGGAATCTTTTACACTGAGAACCAAGGTTGGGATATCCTGACGTGAAAGGCACTATACAAATGTAATTTTATTGTTGTTGTTACTATAATTGTCTTTTTTTGCAAGATAAGGAAAGTCTTCCTTTCATAGGAATAACCCAAGAGAAATCTTCTTCAACCAGCAAGAGAATGGGGTTTGATTTTCAATATTCATAGCAGGAACATTATATAAAGGATTGTATAGATACTCAGGCTGACTCTGAAACTCCAATCAGATATCAATATCTGTCAGGTTCCATAAGCCTCATTTAATCTTAAGTTGTCTTTATGGAAATCTAACCAAATATTGGAGCTCCCGAGTGTCAGCTTCAGACACATCCGATACCTCCAGGATTTGCTATTTACAAATACATTTGCAAAAATCGCAAATTAGATCCCTATATTTCCAAAGTACAGAAATATACATTAATAATGAAGTGGTCTGAAACAAATCTCAGTGTGATAATTTTATGTGTATTAGAGAATACATTGAGATGGGGTTAGTAAAAAATAATACTCTGTACAATATATGGTGTTTTCTCCTGTGGTTTTGAAAGGTAATGCATCTGTCTGAATTTCTCAATCTTATCCTGCTCCAGATAATTGTTCTCAATTATTTTAATTCCTCTTTCTTTCATCTTACATTAACTCTGCAACATTGGTACAGGATGAGGCCATTCAACCCAGAGAGCATGTTCCACTACAACAATGCAATACAAATTTATATGTTGCCTTTCACATCAGGAGGACA